TTGTTGATCATGACACACCTCCTTTTCCATTTTAAAGTCCTTCAATGCATACAGGTTAAGTCTAACTCCTTCAATATGGCCTATTAAAAACCAAGACTCTAGCTTATTGGTTAACATTAGTTGCCCCATCTCTTGACGCCCTAGGAAATAGCCATATTCATTTTCACATCCATTAATGTTCCTTATGAACCTTAGTCAACCTCTGGGACTTCACATAGTGGGTTAGATGACGCTCCCATAAAGCTGCCTAATTCTCAGTCTCAATTTAGACATCAATTCCTCAGGAAGACTAACTGGGACTTCCACCCCGCACCCCAGGTTAGGCATTCCTCTTGTATTCCTATCAGTACAAATGCTTTCTTCAAGAAAACAGTTCATGAGGACACAGACCATTTCTACTTTATCACCATAAAGAGAGTTCAACACAGTGTTCAGTACTCTATTTAATGCCTTGATTGAATCTGAACTACTTATCATCTTTATTTTTATATACCTATTCTTGTCCTTGTGATATGGGGGCAAGTTCTCAAACTTTTCAAAARTGTCCCCTTTATCATTTCTGATTATTTCTCATTTAATGCACCTAAATTTACCACTCTTTCAATTGTGTCATTTTATACCTTTGCCTATAATACTTTCATAATGACCCTCAAAATTTTTTACATTCTAAAAACTTTTTGCTTATAGCAGTAAATCTATGTTAGAACAAAGTGAGCATAAGAGCCTTCAGGGCACTGTGTGTATGTGCACGTTCTATAATTGTTACTCATATATTTTGCAATCTTTCTCATGCCTCATACCTATTAAGGTCTAATTTGTATTTAAGGAAAACTGTAAGATTAGATAATACTGAAATTGTTTGGCTGTTATGTCACAGACTGACACAAGACTACATCGGAATTCTTGATAAAAAGAACAAAGGGGTGGGGACCGGAAGGCGAGGAAGAAATAGGAATGTCAAACTTTTTTTTTTTTTTTTTTAAGAAAATCTTCCTTGTACCACAAAAAGGCAGCAGTTGACATTTTGTGAAAGTTCCTACTAATYTGTCTTCTATTTAAAAACAGTGATCTAAGCAAATGCCACTTTTGGCCTTCTCTTGGAAACAAAAGCATTTTGAGGTAGTAGGTGAAGGAAAAACACATTCCAGAGTTATAAAGCAAAAAATTAATGAGGCTAGCTGCTGCAGAGAGGAAGATAATATATGGAGTTCACTAGAAAAGTTTTCAATATGATCTACCATTTTTTCTGTTTATTTACTTTTAGATGTTGATGGATCTTTATTTTATTCATTTATTTGTATGTGGTGCTGAGAATCAAACCCAGTGCCCCACACATGCTAGCAAGTGCTCCACCACTGAGCCCATAACCCCAGCCCCTTGTCCTATTTATTATACTTGCACAGAAAATGTTTTAAGGTTCACAACTTGTTATTCTTTTAAGGGCAATTACTGAATGTGCAGATGTGTTGCTGGTATATTAAAGACTTTCACTATGCTTTTCTAAATGACACCTAACTGTGTTACTGCTACTCGGCTGGTTCAGAATAGTCTGCCCCAAATATAACTTTTCATAGAAGCAAATAATGAAGTTGTCTGGGATAACTGAAATTAAAAAGGGACAGAAGTGCCAGAGAAAAGGCGATCTTTAAATTTATATTACCATACATGGTATTTGAGTAAGTCATTCAATATGGATGGCATGCACATGTTAAAAATAAATATGTGTAATATCGCASAGTTAAAGGGTCTTTAGTAGGTTCCCTAAAATACTAGCTCTGCCAAGTAGAACAGTCAAATACTACACATAATTTGTTTTTATCAAATGCATGGCTCTTTTGCAAAGTAATACACTAAAGAGAGAAGATGGTATTTTTCAAATAAACACAAAATAAGTCAATTAATTCTGAATAAGTAGTAACAACTTTATTTTAACTCAACGTGCTGAAATGCAAAAAATATTTTCAGCAACAAGATACAAGTAGTATCTTATCATTAACATCAACTGATTAAAAATGAGGCTGAAAGTCCAATAAGATCTTATACATTTGAATCTTGAAAGTCAACTTCCCTCAGAACTAACATTTAAATAATTTCAGCAGAAATATTTTCAAAATGGGACTTTTGTATCTTCATTTTTAAAATCTGAATGCAAAATTAACTGGGTTACAGTATACAATGATAAACTCTAATAACAGAAAAAGATTTATAATATAAGAATTCCTTTTCAAACATAAAGTTCACATACTACAAACAGAAGACACTGTGTGATTTCATTCCCAGTGAGAGGAAGTCTTGCATATGGTAGGCACTCAATATTTGTTCAACTGGACCTAAAATTTACATCATTCCATGAACATTTAAATAAAGTAGAGCTCATAATCTGTATAAAAAAGGTTTGCAAAATACTCTTATGTGTGCTGAAAGTGCTGTCTTTATAATCTGAGAACACTAAGACAAACCCATTTACCCACCCACCTCCTTTTACAAGAGTACAGTGAATATTTATTTTATCCAACAAAGAGCATGCATGTCCACGTCAGACTAGTTCACCTCTTTATACATGGCTGTGAGCAAAGCTTGTTGAGTTGAACTTTCACAAAACTTACTGAAGAAAATACCTGTTGTGTTTTAGCAACAAGGTGATCCAAACTTTTTTGATTTTTGGTGGTGCTAGGGATTGAACCCAGGGCCTCATGCTAGCAAGCACCATAGCACTGGGCTACACCCCCAGCCCTTGTCTATAATTTTCTAAAGAATTCTGCTTGAATATTAAATTTATGCATAAAATGTTATATGGGTAAATTAATAATTACACTTTTGACAATTTAAGCTCTCAGATCTGGCTTAAAAGTTAATATTGTTCTTAACTTTTCAGACATCTTTGTTAATATTTTAACACTTACAATTGATGTCCTAAAAAGGCACTGTTTTCACATTTCATCATGCAGTACATTGGACACATTTTTGAGAATGAAAATTTCCTGTCAAATAAATTATCCTCCAAAATAAAGCACACTTAAATGTAAGATTTCAACTAACCTGAATTTTTGACATTTAACTGAGTCCTATTTTCAGAGGTTCACTTTCTGAACATATCTCCACACAAGCCCGAGTACAGATACACAAGCGTAAGCGTGCGCGCGCGCGCGCACACACGCATTCCACATAAATGACCACGTAATTCATGCAAGGTTCTCTAATCACTATTTGAAGACAATGACATGAGTATTCAAGGAGGTAAAATTGGCAAGCCATATTATGGCACCTTCATATTTGTGCTCCAAATACCAATACATGTTAAAATTAAAAAATGAAAAAGGCACAAATATAGTGTCTTTAAATCTTAGTCTAAAGAACAGTTATCCAATGGTTCTTTTTATAATAAGTAATATTTGAAACCACTCAATACTTTATATGGAAAAGTGTCAAAAGGGAAGGGAAACAGGAGCAGGCTGATAGTTTAAAAGGCAAGACTGCTCTGGACAAAAAACTGTGCCTATTATGAATAAAATGTATGCAGTCTAGAAATGGGGCAGTGGGTGGGGAAAGGCTTTTAGAGCACTAACATAAGAATACTTTTTTTTAAATCATTGCCTTAAGAACCCATACCAAAAATATACATAATAAATAAAAAAATAAATCAACTACCATATGATTCTGTTAGTATAATGGTAGGCATTATATTATTTGAAAAGTGGACATTTCTACAAACATGGATATTTTTACAGCACAGTGTTTGACATTTTTGGTACAAAATGTGCTAACAAACTAAAAAAAATCCTTATAATAAAATTCTTAGGATTTGCAACAAACACTAGAATAAGGGCAAGCTGAAATGTTCACTATAAGGTATTAGTCACTATGGTAAGAAGTGCAGATTGAAGCAGTAAATTAATTCACAATGTGCTGGGGTGGTGTACATTTGATATAAAGGGATACACCAGAGATATTTTAATATATGACAACATAATTCTATAACTGGAGGGAATTTTTGTTTTCTTCTAAGATCCTGGTAAAATCTTAAAATTAAAAGTGTGTTTGTTTGTGTGTGTGTGTGTGTGTGTGTATTTTTAAAATTGCACATTATAAATTTAACAGGCTCAATCTTATGGTGGAGTTAGGGAAGTGAATTTCTACTTGCCATAATATTCTTAAATAGGATGAAGTCCATTGCTTGTATTCCAAGGAATTCTTCTAATTTTAAGTTACCACAACAAAGACTCAATCAAGATATGCAGAAAGAAACTAAGACGTGAAAAATATGATCTTTTCAAACTGTGGTTTGTTGTGGATAACAAATGCTTATTTGATAGTGTTTGTTCAATGCAATTAGGAATCACTCTTTATATATTAGGATTGCTTCAGTCAAAATCTAACAGAGATAGCAAAAATAAAATCTATTTTAAAAGCTCAAGCTTCATTTTTTTTCCTTTGTCCTGAATTCAAAAACTAAATAAACAAATTACAGAAATTTAATCTTGAGAATAAAATTATATATGCAAACATATAGGTATATGCAATTTTTTTCCAGTGACACACTTTTCCCCTTGTTGTCAAATAAAAATCTTGCCTAAAAAGCACACTGTCACTGCTACAGTAAGTCAGATGTGGTGCTCTGACACTGATCACTCCTGCTTCTTTCTCTAGGACAATACACCAGAACAGACCTCACAACTATCAAACACTGACATTTCTGTGTGTTTAAAGCTAAGATTCATGTATAATAAAGAACTGGCCCATGAAAAGCAGTTTATAAATAGTTTATCCTGTTCACATTATGCAGAATTTCAATCATCCACAATGTTAGTACAGTAACTGAAATACAAAGAAGAAAATAATAAGGGGGAAAAAGCTCAAAGTGTGGCCTGACATAGTCTAAGGGCTCCCTTCTTTACTATGCATCTCCCACAGACAAATCGCTATAAGACAAATATCTGTTAATTGTGTGGAGAGTAGACTGTCCAGGATTCATTTATTTTTCAGYTGCTTTTTCCAAAGTGTGATAAAACAAGGATAAATCCAATAATGAATATCTGAAATCCAAACCAATTTATCTATAGTGGATATCTTTCTTATCTATTAATATCAAACATCTCAGTTGCCTCCGTCTTACAAATTTCTTTGAAAAATTGAAACACAATTAATTATACCTAAATAATCCCCCCAAAGCAAAAAATATATGTACCATTCAACATACAAAAGTTACACATTAAAAGTGCATATATATCTTCCTTAATTGGCCCACTCATTAAATTTACATTTGGTCATCCTTACTTTTAACATGTACAGAATTCTTCATATAGGTAGGTCATTATAAATTAAGAAAAAATTACTTCAGCACAATACATACTTTCTGCTTATTGAAATCTTAACCTCAATCAGTTTTCAATCATTGTAAACTTGGATAAACCCACAGTTTCTTGGACAGCTAACATACAGACAAACAAATTTTACTAAAAATCTGGGCCAACTCACTGCATATTTGCCCCCTGAAATGAAAAATAAATTAGAATYGAAGCAGTGTATTGCCATAACTTACCTTGCAGGTAAGCAGGTTCTCCTATATTTATAGAACTTAAACTGGAGACATTACTGATAACCTCCAATAGAAGTGCTTTTTAAGGAGAATCTAGTTTTAAACTTTGAGATAGCATAGGACAAACTTTATAAAATTCATTTTCTTTTCCCCAAAATAATGGAAGATCCTTTTGAAACTTAATATCTTCAGTTATCAATATTACTGCATTATGGAGCTAGTGCAATCCTGCATAGCCTTGGTCAAAATGACAAGGCACAATAAAAAAATTAAAGTTATTATATGAACAAGAGAAGTCATTGAAGATAATTTAAGGCCTTGAAGTGAAGTAATCAGTCTAATTTAAAGCTGAAGTATAAACCATAAATTATCCACCTGAAATGCAAGCAGTATGCTTTTTCAGCTTCTGTTCTGTGGACAAGAAAACAGAAACAACTCTTGCTTATGGTTTGTGTATTAGAATCCTTCTGGACCTGGAGGAGTAAAAGTCAATTCCTTTTTTTTCCTACTGTTCATGGAAGATTTCAGGACTGCTTTAGCCGTTTGCGTGGAATGCCAAACTGTGGACACTGTGCAGATGCTAATGCCCGGAAGGCTTCTGCTACTAAGTGAGGGTGAGACTGAATCATGGACTTCCACCCTGATGTTTCCATTATGTCGGTTGCTTGGCTGAAAAAGAAAATAAAGTGACGTTTACTAAAGAATACTTTTCAAAATGCACTTTTGTATTGTCATTTCTTTTTTCAATTGGTGTTTTTTTGTTTGTTTTTTGTTTTTGTGGTGCTGGGATTGAACCCAGGGTCTTGTGCATGTGACGCAAGCACTCTATCAACTGAGCTATATCCCAAGCCCTAATTGGTGAATTTTGAAATGTTCAAACTCTCTCTTTATCTACTCAAGTTATTTAAATTTATTAAAATATCATCTTCATCTTACTGGTATTTTCTGTTGCAGATGTAATTATTCTATTTTTTTGGAAGACTGACACCCTAACCCTAACCCTAAAGTATATGCAACACGGTCTCCATAGTCCTATTGTAACCTATGCTATCATTCTGTACCAGCTCTTTGAAGAGCCCCTTTCTCTTTTTAACTTGCCTCTTACAGGCAGGTTTTCTCAAGTTCTGATTTTTGCCATCTGCTTTTGTCTTTTAATGTGCATTATCTGTTCTACTCCATCCACTCTTCACAATTTTAACAATCATATTCAATGACTGCTGTCAATGACAATTATCAATGATAATCACTGTTCTGCTAAACGCTAGGCCTCTCCACAAGGTTTGTTCTCAATTACTTGCTCTTTTATTTATTTATTTATTTATTTAGTGGTGTTGGGGATTGAATCAAGGGTCTTGTGCATGCTAGGCAAGCACTCTAGCCACAACCTAGCCCTCACCTGCTCTTTTTATTTGCATGTGCCTCATGTTGCACAAGTTCAGGACTATCACTTATCATCTCTCCCCTCAAACTCCAAATTCTTCCTCCTTCATTTTTAATCAGCTACAGCTCCCACCAACACCAGTAATTCAAATTAAAAACCGAGAGTCATCTCAAAGTCTGTCTTTTCTAATTTAAATCATTAAAGTCCTATGTTAATTCATAAAAATGTCTTGAATCCCTGGTTAAGGCCTTCATCATCTCACATTTGGATTATTATAAAAGTCTCCTTATTTGTCTTCTGTCTCCTATTTTGCTCTTCTTTCAATCCAGCCTCCATACTGCTGCCTTAGTACCATGACTCTTATTAACATAAATATGACTATATCATTCTCTCTCTTATTATTCCCTGTTTCTAAGTTTTAAAAAGAGAAAAATGGCTCCTTATTACTAGTCCCGTATTTCCTCTCTGTACCTTTCCACTCCCAAATTTATGTTCTAGCTTCTTGTACTCAGGTACTAAATTGCTTATATRATATGATCTCACTGAGCAATCACAGTAAATAACTGCTCAAGTAACAAATTTAGTAACCCTTCCTTTCCTCCTCTTTTCACTCTCTTCAACCAACCAAAAACTATTATGGATTCTCCCTTCAGGGTATTTCTTTTTCTTTTTCTTTTTTTTTTTTTAAAGAGAGAGTAAGAGAGGAGAGAGAGAGAGAGAGAGAGAGAGAGAGAGAGAGAGAGAAATTTTTTAATATTTATTTTT